TTTTTTTAATCTTAATGTTAGGATTGTGAAGCATGTACCTTCCTTGATTTTGTAAGCAGGAATTGCGCTTAGGAATCACCGCGGCCTGTCTACTGCAAGTAAAGACATCTTAATTACAGAGTTTTGAAGCATTTCACATTTAGCATGTTTGCTTATTAATAATAATTTTGTATACATCGATGTAAACCAGAATTTTAGGTGGTCTGGCTGAAACATCCTGTCTTTTTGCACAGCTCAGTTCTTGTGTTTTTCAATAAACATCACCATTAATCACAAAATCGCGAGTCATTAGGGTGAAGTGACCTCTGGAGATCATCCAGTCCAACCCCCTGTCAAGGCAGGGCCACCCCAAGCAGGTTACACAGGAATGTGTCCAGGCATGTGAGGATGGAGGCATGGACCCAGAGGTAGAGTGCAAGCTGGATCATTTATTGCAAAGATTACACAATATTTATATGCTTCCAAGCAATTAGCCAAGCACATCTGTGTTTGCCTTGCGGTTACATCAGGTGAAAGGTCTATCAGATTTTCTTACCGACATCCTCTTCCCAGTTCTGACGTCCTTGTTCCTTGTCAGTTCCAACATCTTCCAAGTACCAGTCAGGGACGGGTCACTCTTAATTGCCTGCTGTGGTTCTTCCTTCCTATGGTCTCTGACAGTTTTGATACATTCTAACCCCACAGTTCCCCCTTCTTGTTTTTGCAATGCAGTATACACGTCTTTCAAAGCTTGGGATAACATTCGCTGCATACATTGTAATAAGCAAGGTACAACACATATGATGGTGAAGAGAGCAAGCAGAAAGATCAATCCTGCCTTAACCAAAGTCAACAGCCACCCAGTTATAACCCAATTAGAGAAAAGTGATGATACCCAATCTTTATCATCTTCCCTTAACTTCATTACACTGGCTTTTAATTTACGGATACTGTCATGTATGGATTCTGAATGGTCTGACAAATTCATGTAACACATTCCTTCCAAAATTTCACACCCATGTCCATGTGCTAAGAAGAGAAAATCGATCGCTGCTCTATTCTGTAAAGTTGCATGTCTTATAGAATCAACATCAGTGAGCAATGCAGAGAGAGCGGATGCTGTAGCATTAGCTTGCTTAGGAAGCCAACATCCTAACTTATTCAATGTTGCTAAAGCTTGGGAGCTAGCTACTCCAGGAGCTAAAAATGAAGCAGCTATTATTTCACCTGGGTTCCAAAAATTTACCTTGCCATCGCAGCTCAGTTGAAAAGCCTCCGTTGACCTTCGAGAACGCGATCCTCGTTTATTCATTATCATGGTGTTATTGGGGCTGAACATGCCTAGGGTCCCTACTGCACATGGGCTGCCTTTTATATGGGATGGTACCCCTTGCCAAGCCCGATCTTGTGGCAACTGAGGCATGGACTCTGTTTCTGGCTACAAACAAAATCCCTTATTGAGTGAGCTTACAGGTTTTTATAGTATTCTGCTTAGCAGTTAGTAGCAGTTAGTTCCTTTGGTACTTTTCCATCACAAAACAATCTTATTGATCACTTACTCTTTCAGCCAATCAGATTACTGTCCACTCGCCTTTGCTTGAATAATTATTTCTAAACATAGTTCTTTGCTATCACTACTCGTTACATTGTCACTTCCACTTCCCCTTGACTACACATTCTTTATCTTGTCTTAAGCATCCTCCTGTTTCCAAATTTACAGTCCTTAGAAATTATCTTGATGCTCTTTCTTCGGTTCCACCCGATGTTCTTTCTCCAGTTCTTTCTCTGTTTCTTCTCCACTTGTCCCGTTCACTTCTCCCAAGGTTTGTGGCTGATCAGAGTCCAGATGTCCGGGCTCTCGTCCAGGCCTACTTGCGCAGCTTCTTGTGCAGCATTCCCCACATCTCCCCCTTCTTTATAAGCTAACAAAACATTGTTAGCAATGACTTAGCAATCAAACGATTTATACAAGCAATTAAACAAGGAACTGTGATTAAAACATATAAAAAGATTTTTACACAGGCTACTGCGATTTTAATAATGTCTTTCAAGCATGCACTGATGCCCTACTCTGACAGCAAACTTCTTAGCCAATTCCAGCTACTCTCCACCCACAACATCTGAACTCCTTTAGGTTTTGAACTGCCTCATGGACAAACTCAGAATGATTAGACAGGTTCATGTAACACATTCTATCAAAGTCTTTACAACCGTGTCCTTGAGCTAACAGCAAAAAATCTATGGCAGCTCTATTTTGAAGGGTAGCATGTCTGACTGAATCGTTATCTGTTAACAGACCATTGCTGTGGGTGAAAAACCTCCGGAGCACAGGCTGGGTTTCTTCCTGCCTCTGACCGGGAGGAGTGGACCCCGCTCCGCCCCGCAGAGCGCATCTTGGCGGGCGCAGCGCGTACCTGGGCCTGCGGGAGCACACAAAGGTGAGGGGCGGGCGAGTATCACAGCCCTCTGCCCGCGGGCAGACAATGGGGGGAGCCTGCCGGAGCCTGCTGCTGCAGCCAATGCCAGGATCAGGCGAGAATAGATCTGGCTCACTTTCTGGGTCTATCGGCCCCAGGTCGAGAGGATCCGGAGTGTTGTTTGCAAGAAGAGAAGGGGTGTTGTCTGTTGGGACAGAAGGGGTTGACGGTGCCGACCCTTGCTGTACTGCCCTGTCAAGTGCTTCATAGACTGAGCGCCATACCCCCAGCAATTTGGGTGCTGCCACATCATCCCTTGTGGCTGCGTCCCAAAGGTAGACCCCAATCTTGTCCCACACTCCCTTCTGATAAATACTAGTTGATGTTGCCTCTGAGGCATGGGCCGAGAGGCCCATATTAGTAAGTCTGTCAGTTTATCTTCATTTACAGTAATCCCCTTCTTCGCTAGGAATTTTACTAGTGCTCTGTACACTGATTTGTGCTCGGGGAATACTGAGTTTCCCATGTTCCCGTTCCCAGCCACTTACCTCAGAGGTACCGGTTAATTGCTGCAGGCTTTCGGAGTTTGGCTGGGCATCCTCACTGGTTGCCGAGTCACGGCTCTCTGTCTTGCTCCACGTTGGGGTGCCATTTGTGAGGATGGAGGCACGGACCCAGAGGTAGAGTGCAAGCTGGATCATTTATTACAAAGATTACACAATATTTATATGCTTCCAAGCAATTAGCCAAGCACATCTGTGTTTGCCTTGCAGTTACATCAGGTGAAAGGTCTATCAGATTTTCTTACTGACATCCTCTTCCCAGTTCCGATGTCCTTGTTCCTTGCCAGTTCCAACATCTTCTAAGTACCAGTCAGGGACGGGTCACTCTTAATTGCCTGCTGTGGTTCTTCCTTCCTATGGTATCTGACAGTTTTGATACATTCCAACACACACACAGGCAGGTTTTGAGTGTCTCCAGAGAGGGGAACTCTACAACTCCCTGGTCAGCCTGTTCAGTGCTCTGCCACCCGCAGTGCAGGAAAGTTCTTCCTCACGTTGAGGTGAAACTTCTTGTGTTTTTGTTTATGGCTATAGCTCCTCATCCTGTTGCTCGGGATCACTGAAGAGAGTCTGGCACCATCTCCTTTGAGATATTGATCTGCACTAATGAGATCCCCTCTCAGTCTGCTCTTCTCTAGACTAAACAGGCCCAGCTCCCTCAATCTCTCCTCATAAGAGATGCTCCAGACCCCTGATCATCCCTGTGGTCCTCCACTGGACCCTCTTCAGTAGCTCCTTGTCTTTCTTGTACTGAGGAGCCCAGCACTGGACACAGCACTCCAGATGTGTCATCACCAGGGTCGAGTAGAGAGGGAGGATCAGCTCCCTCGACCTACTGCCACACTCCTCCCAGTACAGCCCAGGATGCTATTGTCTCTCCTGGCTGCAAGGGCAATTAATGAATCAGGCTGTTGGCTGTCACTGGCCTAGATGAGATGGAGTAGATTTGCAGAAGGATTTGGAATTGCCATTGCCAGTGCAGGGCATCATGGCACCCAGGGCACCTTTCTCCTACAACTCTATGTTGTATGCAGGTGCAGGCTCTGAAGCAGTATAAGTGCGGGAACTTAAGGCTTGAGAAATTTATTTGATATAATAATGAATTGTGGTGCTGATGTATATGAAGATCGGCTGAGAAAGTTGGGGCTGTTCAGCCTGGAGAAGAGAAGGCTGCGTGGAGACCTCATAGCAGCCTTCCAGTATCTGAAGGGGGCATATAGGGATGCTGGGGATGGACTCTTCATTAGGGACTGTAGTGAAGGACAAGGGGTAATGAGTTAAAACTTAAACAGGGGAAGTTTAGATTGGATATAAGGAGGAAATTCTTTCCTGTTAGGGTGGTGAGGCACTGGAATGGGTTGCCCAAGGAGGTTGTGAATGCTCCATCCCTGGCAGTGTTCAAGGCTAGGTTGGACGAGGCCTTGGGTAATATGGTTTAGGGCGAGGTGTCCCTGCCCATGGCAGGGGGGTTGGAACTTGATGATCTTAAGGTCCTTTCCAACCCTAACTATTCTATGATTCTATGATTTATGTTACCCTCTTTTTTTACCTAACAAAATAGTGAGGGCTTTGACTGCTGGTTAGAAAAGGTACTGTAATTTTATTACCCTTGGTTTCCCCATCATTATTTATGCAGTTAATAAAAGGCAAAAGGGCGTTATGCACGACCAGTGGTAACACAGTTGGCTCAGGTGGCACTGATGAACACCGCGCGTGTGCATGCTCGCACAGCATGGGAAACAGAGACTACCGGTTTCCACGTTCCGCGTCCTTGCCACCCGCAGCGCCGCCGCAAGGGCCGGGGACCGGAGCCCGCAGCTCCGCCCACAGCGACCGGCCAGAGGAGCACTAACAGGAACAACGGGGACAACGCCCCCTACGACGCCGCTCCGTACCTCCCCCGACCTCCGCAACAGGAAGCTGCCCCTCCGCTAGGTCCCGGAGACCCTGGCGCCTCCCCGTGGAGCGGCTTCCCCCTGGCGGCAGCACAGCTCGGCTCCGGCGGCGGCCAGCAGGGGGCGGTATGGTGACGGCACTGATTGGTGGGACTCCGCGCGCCGCCGCGGGGCGAGGTGCGCTGGGCGGTGCTGTCGCGGGTAGCCGGGGGCAGTGATGGGGGCGCCGCTCAGCACGGTGAGTGATCCTTGTGCGGGCTGGCGCGGTGTCGGGCGGCGAGACCTGTGGCTGCGGATTGCGGGCGGGGGTTGGCGGCTACGTGGCTCTGCCTCCTGCCCCGCTCCGCCCGCCGAGGTCCGGAGCGAGCTGTGTTCAGGCCCCGAGGCCTGCCTGCTGGGAAGAGGAGAGGCGCGGCCTCACCGCTAGTCCTGCACGGCGCCGGGGCGGGCTGTGTTGGTGCCGGAGCAGAGCGGGGGCCGCTGGGCGGTGTGACAGGGTACCCCAGGCCTTTGCTGCCTCCGCTGCCGTGTGCCCAGCCGCGATGTGGTGGCCCTGGGACCTCTTCAAGGCTGGCGTGGGCTGGGGCCCGTGTTCCCGTATGTGCACCCTTTGTGCGTGCGAGCTGTGATAGTGAGGGTGCTGTGTGCTGCGGTGTGTGCGGCTACTCTCCGTTCCGTTCTCCGAATCATTTTTCAGCACTTGTGCTGATGGTTTTAAAGCCATAAGCCTAGCTGTTGCTGCTGTAGCGGAGAGCTCTTTGGGGATCATGTCTGCCGAACGGTGGATTTGCGGTGCTGTTAACTGTAGCATGCATCATAAAATCAACTAGGTTGGAAACGACCTTTAAGGGTATCATGGCCAACCGTTACCCCAGGACTGCCAAGTCTACCGTGAAAACGTCACTAAGGGCATTACCTTCTTCCTGATGCAGCCTGATTATGTCTGGTCTTTCCTCTGATGCGTTTGCTCAAACGTTTCTGGCTCTGGGTTTGTGAGAGGAGCAGGACTGAGCTGGACACATGTGCTAGTTTGGGTACAGTTGATTACTAGGTTATGTGAACAGAAGAGGATGAGGCAGATGCTAAAGCTGCAGAAGAAATACTTGTCCATTAATCCTTTCATCATTTTCTAAAGCAGATGAGAAGAATGTTTAAAATACTAGAACTAAATAAACTGCTCTCTGTGGCCCTTCCTTGGCTGCGGGGGTTGGACTGGATGATCTCCAAAGGTCACTTCCAACCCTAATGATTCTGTGAAAATCACTTAAAAGTAGGGTCTAAATGAAGAAGTGGAGCTGAGGGCACAAGAGTAGGCGTGCCAAAGCAGCGTTAGGTTTGTGTGTTTGTAGGGCAGTTGGGTGATGGAGTATCCTGCCATAAGCTTACCTGTTTAACCCTGTCTTGCTCACAATGCCTTAGTGGAAGGGTCTGGCAATCTCAGTGCTGTGGCTTTTTTCTCAAGGCCTTTTTTGTTAATACTGCAAAGGTCTGTTTCCATTAATAAAAATTCCTGCTGTATTACTGGTTTTGTGATCTCTGTTAGCAGAGATTTGTGCAGCTGGAAACTGTGAGTCACCAGTTCTTCATTTAGTGATTGCTGGCCTTGTGGTCAGCCAGTCGTTCGTGCTGCTGCTCCAGTTCTGATGCAGCTGCCATGATTGCAGTGCGGTTATCATCATAAATGTCTTGATACACTCTGTGATAAGAGTATATAGATCAGTTTTAACCCCAAGAATGTATTTCTTGACATGGGTAACTTTTTGTAATCATTCAGCCTTCAGTTCTTCCCCTTTTTTCTGCCCATCAGTTCATACTTCCTAAGTAAGGAACTAAAATAGCTACCTGAATTAACAGGTTTGTTGTTTCTGTATAGGCTAAACCCCATTAGGCTTTTGCATTAATTGACAGTAAATAACAAATGCCTTCTACAGGGCTGACACTGTGCTAAAAGTATTTGTCAAAATTAAACTTCATTCTGTACCAGTAGACTCAGACACAGTGCATTGCTTCAGAAAGTGATGATGATGCTCATGTGGGGGAAGAGTGTTTATGTCATTTACTGAACAGCTGTGGTAGCTTCCACTTAACAGCTGATGACCCAGAACTGTTTGCAAAGATGGGGAAAGCACTTATCTCTGCACACACAGGTGAAGAAGCTGACGTAGAGGTAATATCTTGAACCTGCTCTTCTCCTGTCTTCCTGATCAGCTGTTCCTGGCATACATTAGTGTTGGAGTTGGGAGCAAGCCTAAGCTTTTTAATTCAGTGACTGTCAATTTTGCTAGACCACAGCTGTGCTTCTTTGGTCTGTTTTAGATGCCTGCATCTGTACATGAAGCTAGTTTATTTTAACATTAATGCTTTATTTTGAAGCATCATTTGCTGTGGATTTAGCTTGCTATCTCCAACAGGTCTCATGCATCTGTTGCAGTTCTTATCAGGGAGTTTATCTGCTGCTCTGTCATTTTCTTAACTTCCCCCCTTTTTTTGTGATTCAAAAGTTCTTTCTGGAGCTAAAGTAATCAGGTGGATCTGTATAATTAAGGAATAACATTCCTGTAAACTCCAGCTTCTTCAGGAACAGCCTGTGTGGAGCTGTTTCAGTGTTTTCAAATAAAAGTGAAAAAGGCAGTGTGTGCACGGCATGGTGTGTCTTCAAGCTATACCAAATGTTGATACATTTTAAACCTGTACAGCAGCATTTTAGGAAGAGAAAGCTTATGTTATGTCCCTTTTTTAATTTTACATTTGCCACAGTTTAGTAATAATAATGTTGTAGTGTTTATAGCCTCCTGAGAAGTGTCACACTCACAGAGATGAGGTTCTAAAACACTGGTCAGATCACTTGAAAACAGAAATGAAAGTTAACCAGGCAGGACAAAGATGTGCACTGTATACAGCCTAAGTACTTTGCTCCTCGCCTTGCTTCCCGTGGTCATGCTTTCCCCTGTCTTCTGTTAAAGTATTGAATACTAAATTAGAGAATTGGTGAGGAGTTTTGTAAGTAGATGATCAGTTTATTCTCTAGTCCTAAGTTAGGACCACATCTACCTACACGGGTGATTTTGTAGGTTGCTACAGTGCTTATCTAATCTGGCAGCACATGTCCCTGGGAACAGGCACTGGAAACCGAAACAAATGCACAGGCTTGTAGCCTGTGGGTGACTCATTTTTAGCCCTGTAGACCCACCAAGTGACTGAAGTGTCTGGAATTGGGTGGGAAGGTGACATTTTCCTTCCATCTTGTCCACAAAGCTGTAGTTGCAGTGTTGTGGTCTCTTCTGTGCTTTCCTGGGCTGGTGTGGTCACTCAGTCTCTCCCAACTAGGCAACCTGTGCATGGTGTTGGGCATGGAGATGGTGGTGTGATGGCATAACCTATTCCCATCTTGTGGGGCTTCAGCCCCCAGGGTGAAGTTCATCCCTGCAGCAGGCTATGCAATCACAGAATCATAGAATGGCTCTGGTTGGAAATGAGACCAAAATATTAGGCCTTAGCTGAAAAAACTTTACTTTTCATCATGAGCATGACTTAGCACCTAAACGTGAATGCTTGCTCAACAGAGGGCCCCTCTGAGGGTGGGAATCTGCCCTTCTGGTGAGGCATGATAAATAATACATTAGAATTTGGGCCTGTAGATGGCTTGCATCTGGTTCTGTAAATTGCTTCTAAGCGGGGGCATCCCTAATGGTAAGATACAATAACAACTTGAGCAAAGAATTAAGCACGTAGCTCCAGGTATTAGCAGTTGAAAACTAAAAGGTGATCAGTAGACTGTCACTGTAGCCCTAACTGAAATGTGCAGTAGGATAAGAGGACTACAATTCTATAAGTTACCAAATTGTATGTGAGGATGCTTTAGATAAAATTATATCAAGATGAGAATGTAAAGTATAAAAACTCTGAAATTTACTGTGCTTTGGAGACATGTATGGAGGTTTGAACCCCCACATGCTCCTGGCGCCAATAAAGGTCTGTGCTGTGATTTCTTTGAATTAGAAAGGACATTAAGATCATCTAGTTCAAAATCCCTGCCATGGGCATGGACACCTAAGACTAGACCTTGTTGCCCAAGGCTCTGTCTTGTTGCCTCCAGGTGCTGTGATATAAAAGGCCCAAAGCAGTGGCATGTGTTGAGTGATGTGGTTGGGAAGCCTGTCAGCACATCCATGCACCAAGGAGCGAAGAGGCATGAGTGTGGGAGGAGCCTGGGTAATACCCTCACCCAGCTACTCTTAGGTCCATCACAAGAGAGCAGCCAACTCAGGAAGGTTTACCTCCATACAGGTGCACACAAAGAAACACTGGCAGGCTGAGGACCTTCCTAGAGCTGTTTTGCCCCCTGGGTCAGGGGTGAGGCAGGCACCAGTGGGAGGCTGGCTCCCCTTGAAGGCTGGGGTAGCATGGGATTTAGGGGGTGAGTGTTTGAGGATTGTGGGACGTTTAGGGGAGGAACCAAAGGCAGTGATTGAGGCCTTTGGAGAAGAACAATTTTGAGGAAAATAAAAGGATAAAGGAACAAAAAGGGCTGACCCTGTATAAACAGGCCTGCTCTGTAAACCGGCTTGCTTGGCTGTGTCCTGCAACCTGTCAGCATAGTCTACCCTGTCCTCATTAAACTCCATAGCTGCTTTTCTGGGGAAGGGATACTTCTTTGCATGCATGGATCTTTGTGGGAGAATAAGTGCCGGTGCCTGGAGCCAGACCGTGGGCCAGAGGGCTTGTGTGTCCGTGGTGCCAGCACCCAGCATGAGTGTGTGATGGCTAGCAAAGATCAAGCTGGACTAACCAGTAACTGGGTGAGATGGCCTGGGAGCCAGGCATGTGTGTATCTTGAAGGGTGATACTGCAGTGCATGTGGTCCTGTGTGAAGGGGTCTGTGCGAGAGCAGCTCATGCCCAGATGTGAGCAACTGGGGGACTGTAGTCTGGGGACAGCTGCTCTGGGGTCTAAGCCAGCTACTGGTGTACATTTCTGTGTACACATGCCTGTGGGATGTCTTTTATCCCTGATCAGTCAGGGAGGGGATCAGGATGACAGCCATTAGTGCTGTTTGTGTGAGCCTCTCTGCGTTGATCAGTGTGGCCAGCCACATGTATATTTGGGCACGTGTTCTGTATGTGTGCCTGTGCATGCTGGGCATGCATACTCAGCCTTGCTAACAGCTGGATCTGGGGACCAACTGTTAGCAAGGACATGGAGCTGTGACAGCCTCGCTTCTGTCAAGCTTCCAGGTCCCTCCTGGTATGACAAGTGCTTCAACGTAGGAGTAATAACACTAGGTATTTATAAAGGAAACTATTAAAGTAGCTGGTGTATTTTTAAATGCCTCCTCTTCCTTCTCATATTAGTACAAAGAAACATGTTTTCTTCTGGGGCTTAGATTGTTATGTCAATCTACTGGATTCTTTCTCACCAAAATAAAAACTTTCTTTTGTTATGCACATGTGTCTAACACTCTTTCTCTATCGCTGCAGTTGGGATGGGTTGTGACATACCCATTAAAGCTCATCTACACCATCTTCCAGAAGTTTTTCAGGAATCCCCGTCCTGCAATTACTCTGCAGGATCCTGAGGTGAAATACGCATTAAGGCTGATTGACAAGGAGGTAAGTGCATGTACAGTGCTGAGCATGCCCTCTCCGTGGGTACTGTGAAATGCTTGTAGCTTCTTAAATCTTGGGTGATGTTGCAGCAGGGTGAATACTTGCATTTTAAGTAAATTGTTTATAAATGCTCATTGTGTGATATAACCAAGATCTGCACTTCTGCAAGCAGCTTTTTTCCAAGCAAGATAAAGTGGAGAATTCTGTTTTAGAAATGACCAGTCTTGGAGTTTCTGTCACGTGTCTCATGTCATGTGGTATATCAGCAGAAATTCCTACACTCTGTACTGCTGGGTTCTCTGTAAGGCAGAGTTATGCTGTCAGGCAGAGCAGGCAGATTTTTCATGCTAAGTAGTGTTCAGCATAGTAGTTGTCATACCTATGTTGATACTGATTCCTGTTACTGGATTTGTGTATTCTAATATGTTACAGGAAAAAAGATGTTTAAAAGTTGTAGTCCTGACAGTACCTGAGCTGTTTCAGCTTCTTTTTCTCTCTGATAAAAGTAGAAGCCATTCTGTATCTCCCAGGCTCCTCCACTAGGTTTCTAGATGGAAGTCATGATGCTTTCAGGGGTACACTCAACTTGAGGGAAGGAGGCCAAAGCCATAAAAGGTGAAAAGTCCAGATTTCCCTTGGATAAACTCACCGTCAAAAGCATGAGGTAGAAGTCTTGGCTTTTCTGGTGTGAAATCACACCTGAAGATATTTGTAGTGTTGACTTTTCAAATAAATGATCTAGTCAGAAATTTACTGGAAAAGGACTGGAGCAGAGCTTTGTTTGATGTACAGGGAGTGTGCTGATAGTTTGGCTTTCATTTGTTCTGTTTGTCAAAGAAAAGGATTACTGTCATTCTGAATCCTGGGTTTTGTGGGAATTGAAAGCTTCCCTGTGGTTTGGGCTGCGTGCCATTATTGAATTTATTTCCCATCTGTGCTGCAACAATAGTATTATTATATACTCCCCACTTTTTCATGAGAGCTGTAGCACCTGGTTGCAGGTACAGTCTGTCTGACCTGCAGGAGGTGAGGGAAACTTGAGGCACTGTACATGCCTCTGAGAGTCAAGCTACTTGCAGGTTTCTGCTGTAGCAGTTTATAACAGAAGAGAATTCACAGTTCACTTGATTTTTATTTTTTATTTTTTAATAAATGACTGATATTTTTCTCACCCTGTTGTTATTTTGATATGCCTTTTTCAAATCTTGGGAACAGCTCTTACATAGCCAGGTCAGATGCTGCTGCTTGTGGTACCTTGATCAGCTGGGAATATTTGACTCATGAGTGTTTATAAATTTTTTCCTGAATGGAAAATGTGTCCTGGAAACAGAAGTTAGTTCTGAAAAATAACAACCTCGTACAATAAGTGCTAATATCTTCTAATATCTTGCCAAAAATCTGGTGCAAACACTCTGATCTTCAAAACTTCTGATTCCAGGCCAGGTTGGACAGGGCTTTGAGCAAAGACAGCATCTTAAGATGAAGGATTTATTGGCAAAATCCAGCTTTGAAGTGGCCTAGCTGGTGCTGAAATCTTCATACAGAAACAGCAGTGGTCAGTGTGAGAGCAGCAGTGTTAAGTCCACCTTAGCTGTCTAGTGGATTATTCAATGGCAGTTAATGTTCCTGAATAGACACAAGTACAGAGAAACTCCTTTTAGACTGCCACTCAGTTCCCTTCTTTGTTTAGCATTTCCTTTAAAAAAGGGCTACAGTATTTTCGAGGATGTTTATGAAATTTACTTTAGAAGGGTTATTATTTCCCATTCGGCTTTAAAGAAAGAAATTGGATGAGGAATTAGGCTGTATGTTGTCTCTCTTTTTTTCTGACTTTTTCAATCCCATGAATGTCACCTGATTTTTAAGAGATAAAACTTACACAGGATAAGAAATAACATTTTATTTACTCATTACCAAGCTTTTATTTAAGTTACAACATTCCTGGTAAAAGAACTGTCATAATTTTGTAATGAAGTACTTATCTAAATAGAGGGCTCTTTTACATTTTAACTGAGTATTAATTCCATTTTTATGGGGCAGATATTTTTAAGGCTCTTAGCATAGCGGACCAGGTTGCTACTTCATAATCATCTTGGCAGCCACTAGTTTTCTGATATAGTTAATTCATCTGATTTTAATACATCAAAATGATTTTTTTTGGCCTTGAACTGACGTATATTTAAACTTAAATGAGAACTGAAGAACTGACTAACTTCTGTCTAGTGGCCTTCTTACAGAAGGCAGTGTAAATGTTCATACTGTGTAGAAGGTTATAGTTCAGTCTCAGTCTGCATATGTTACTAAGTTTTGCTATTCACATGTAAACATACAAAACAGTATTTGCATTTGTCTGCTTTATTTCTATTTTTATTTCTGTATTGCTCCTAAAATATCTTGAGATAAAGTTAAGTTTTCAGGGAGTTTGAATGAAGAGTTGACCTCTGCAGGATTGCCACATTTAAGTCAGGATGCTGCACTCCCCCAGGTATTCAGGAAGCCAGAGGAGTGCAGTGGTTTTACAAGTGAAATCACAAGAATTAAATTGCAATGCCATAGCTGACTGCTTTATTAATTTTCCTCTTTCAGGAAGTTAGTCATGACACAAGAAGATTCCGATTTGCTCTCCCTTCTATAGATCATGTTCTGGGCCTTCCTCTAGGTACGTGTTGTCTGTCCTTCCTGAGAATCCACATGTGGTTAATTATATTATGAAAGGTTTTGGAGGGATTTTTTTCCTATGTTTTGAACTGTTGAATTTTGAATATTGTCCACATAGTTTGAGCTAGTATTTAGAGCTTTGCAAGATTATCCTCATGCTGTGAGTCATCTGCAGGGCCTGAACTCTTGTATACTTACAGAGGGTGTACATCCAGCTTGTTTCTGTGAAGACGGTAGAAACAAACACTGGTCTTTACTTATTTTTTCAGTCTCAACATTCCAGTGTGTGTTATTTCCATTGTGCTTGGCCTCAGTGGTCCCTTTCCATCCCTTGAAGCCATGTTCTCTGCAAATTCTCCTCTAACACATGTGGTTTACCAGATGATCTAGTCACTTCTGAATTTGCAGCCAGTCTTATGGAACATCTTAATCACCATGTAGTAGATGTTTCCTTAGGCCTTGCCATGTGGTATGTTGCCTTCCTTAATAGCTTAGTGCTGTTGTTTCCTACTGCTTATGTAAAGAACATTTAATTATCACTTGTGTTTAATAGGGACTTCTGCTTTAGCAACCTGTTGCAATGATCTGTAAATCAGGTGTTTCACGGTAGTCCTGCAGCATCTTTCCAGCATTACAGTCCATAGTGTTTAGGTTCCCTGTTGTTTGGGATGTGTTATTTTCTTGATCCTGCTCAGTAGCCGTGAGGGCAAAGCTGGTTTCCTGCCCTTGCCCCCTGATGAACATTGAGGAGTGAGCTGTCTCACCTCTCTAGTTGCTCTTGTCCTGCAGGCTAACAGAAAAGAAGCCATCTGGGGTGAATTTGGCCTGCTGCATGCCATGGCTTCCTCCAGTTTTAGTAAGATCAGGGCAGATCAGCCAGTTACTTCAGCATAGCTCGAGAAGGCATGTCCCTGGCCCTGCACAGTCCCAGGAACAGCACAGTCATGCTCCCCAGGGTCCTCTGCACGGTCTAATCTGCGGGTGACTGAGTGAGTGGTTTACTGGGTGAGACTTGGGAAGCAAGGAGAACTGAAAGCTGGTGAGGGTGGTGAAAGCAGCTGGGAGCAGCAGGCGTGGCAGCCATGGGACAGATACTGGTGTGCACTCTGCGTCTTTAGTCCAGCACCAGCATTTCGTTTCTACTGCTAGCTGGGGTGTTAACAGGAAAAGAAGTGACTCACTAAGAGTGGGATTGTGTGTGGCTCCAGGGGGAGGCTGCCTGCTGCTGTCCTGTCAGGGTGGGGTAGAGCTATAACAAGTAAGAGCCTAAGGTGTGTTTTCCCTTTGGAAGGAGCACCTTTTGGGGATTTGCACCAATTGTGAGACATGCCCCAGAAGTGGTCCTGTGTGCCTGGGTTTACTGTCTGCAGTGGTCAACAGGGGGCTCTTCTTGGAGGAGGGGGTGGTGAGGTTGCCCCTAGCCTGAAAGAGGAATGGGAGATTGCTGCAGCTGCCTTCAGGTCTTCCATAGCAGGAAATATGAGTCATACCAGATCTGTGTAGGTTTTGCTGAGAGGGTTATTTGAATCACCTTTATATGATGTCTTCAAGTGAGTTATGGTTGCTCATTTCCCAAGTCACCAGGTAGCACATGTTCATTCACCCACTGCTTTGCCTTACTGGTCCTGTGGGTTGGCAGACTGGTAAAATCCCCAGTTTGTGTTCCCATAGCAGGCAGATGAACTGCACCGTCTTTGGAGAGCTGCATTCTATCCTAAGAGGTAGTTTGTTCTGTTGACATAGTGGTGACAAAATAACAAAGACCAAATCCTCCCTTAGGTACTCTTCACTTGGGTCTCTTCAGTATGTTGGAATTTTATAGGAAACCCTTTCAAAAGAGTTAATTCTAGGTGGGTTTTTTTCATCAAAAGCATGGACATTGAGAAATGAAACTGTTTGTAGAGAGTTCAGTGAATGTGTGACAGATTGAAATGGGATCACTGCATTCAGATCCTAAGCTGGAGAAACAGCAGAGTTAGAAAAGTGCTTTATGTCTAGGCAGCCTGAGCAATGGCGGCTAGAAGACCTCCTGATAGACACGAGCCATTTGTGATCAAAGTAAGTACAGTTATAAACTCAGTTGTAACAAAACTTTTAAGAGTTTATAACTAACATGTTAATAAAGAAGTGTGAACAGAACTTGACAGTTTTCCCCTCCGGAGTTCTTTTTACTTGCCGGCATGGGACAGACATGCCACATCTTTTGCAAGATCTCACATACAGTTAGAGCTTTGGGAATTGTAAAAGCCGTTAGAACAGATATGATCGACACATAAAATCAGCAGCAGCGTTGTCTGCCCTTCCAGATAGAATCTGTGTATGGTTGAATATGCAAGGTGCTACATTCTAGGAGCATGAGAGAGGGAAAAGTGGCTCCCCAAAGCAAGGTTGTTAGGTCAACTTTGACACGGAGTTTGCAGTCTGTACCAAATCAGTACATCCACCAAAAGAAAAATCTTTTGAAAGCAAACTGCTTTTTCTCTTCCCTCCACACAGGACAGCATATCCACCTGTCTGCCCGGATTGATGGAGCTCTGGTTGTGAGACCTTACACTCCAGTTTCCAGTGATGACGACAAGGGCTTTGTGGATCTTGTTGTCAAGGTGAGAATGTCACACTCTTTTACCAGGCTAGGCAGCTTCTGACCCCACCTTTACACTTGCAGTGCTATATGAAGTCTGATGTGCTGGCTTCTGTTCAGGTGCGTGCCACTGCAGACTTCCACTGTTTTAATGGGTGATCTGGAGTTACCTACAACCCATACGGCATTTTGCAAGCACTTCTGCAGTGAGTGTGTCTCATGAGATGCTGCATAATTTTCTGTATTTGCATATTGCTGTTTTCCAAAATCTGTGTAGACCTGCAGATGTGTACACACCTTTTTAATCCTTCTGAAATAAGGAATTAACCTGGCCTGAACTGCCAGTTTCTTCTGAAGTGAAGGTAACATGGTCACTATAATCATGTAAGTGTGGTGATCATTATTGTTACTGATCCAGACAAGAGTAAATGACTGATTTAATTGGCAAGAATGTGGTTTTGAGTCTTGTGATAATGTACTTGGGTTTTGTCTCTTGCTAGCTGGACTAAGCAGATATATTTAAAGCTGACAGAAGTTTAAAACCTGAATATCTGCACTGGATTTTCTTAGTATTTTACTCAAGTGGTTTTCTTCTTCTTTACAACTAATAACAATTTATTCATTTATTGTGAAACTGGACATGAATTTGTCTTTTACTGCCTACTTATCTTCATGAGCATGGTGTTGAAGACATGACAAGGGAAAAATGTAAATCTCTGACCTAAAGAGAAACATTTCACAAGACTCCTTCTTCCCAGTGTGGCTCTTCATGCATGCAAATGATGCTGCTCTTGTGAAAGTGTAGCTAGTCTCAGCTTGAACCCTTTCACATCCATGGGATTTAAAACAAAAACCCCAGCAGAGTTCCAGCAGTGTAACTACACCCACTGATACCTGTTGGTCAATGGTTGAATATTCATTTAGTTGGTATGCACTTTTTTTGTTACTCTAACTTCGAGATGCAAACAGTTGGCATTGCAAGAGCGACATTTGGATACATCCCTTTGCAGCTGAGCTGTCAGGGATCTTTCTCAGAAGTTAGTTTGATTGTTTAGAGATATGTTCTATGTTACAGAAATACAATGGAAAAATTGCCAGTCTGTGTCCAATCTGATCAAAACTGGGGCAAGAGGGGCATTTTAATGCTTTTCAGAAAACTCAGTGCTTCTCTTTTATTGTCAGTCAATTCTGCAAGTATTCCTTTATGTAGTAATTGTGTTCTTTGCACGAGGAATATGGGTACTTAAATATTTGAAGGGAAATGCTCGTATTTGAGCTGTGAGATAAATTGCTTTGTTGTTATTTTTAACAGGTCTACTTTAGGGGTGTCCATCCGAAGTTTCCTGATGGAGGGAAGATGTCTCAATACTTAGACAGCCTGAAAATAGGGGATACTATTGACTTCAGAGGACCAAGTGGCCTACTTGTCTACAAAGGAAAAGGTAAGGCTGACTTGGAAGATATAATTAATCCAGACGAAACCATGCAGAAAAAAAAAATCATTATAAAGCAATAGTAATACTGATCACATTTTTTTTCAGGTGGATTCAAGTCTATATAGCATCACAGAATCATGGAATGGTTTGGGTTGACAGGGACCTTTGAGGATCATCTAGTCCAATCGCTCTGCAATATATCAGATTTCTCAGAGCTCTGTTGGACCTGACCTTTAGTGTTTCCAGGGATGGGGCATCTACCACCTCTCTGGGCAACCTGTGCCAGTGTTTCATCACACTGTAACAAAAATATCTTCCTTGTGTCTAGTCTAAATCTATCCTCTTTTAGTTTAAAATCATTACCCCTTGTCCTGTCACAACAGGTCCTGCTAAAAAAGCCTGTCCCCATCTTTCTTATATGCCCTTTTAACTACTGAAATGCAGCAGTAAGGTCTCCCTGGAGCCTTCTCTTCTCCAATCCCAACTTTTTCAGCCTTTCCTCACGGGAGAGATGTTCCATTCCTCTCATCATTTTTATGGCCCTCCTCTGGATTCACTGGAACAGGTCCATGTCTTTCCTGTGCTGAGATCTCCAGAGCTGGTTGAGGTACTCCAGGTGGGGTCTCATGAGAGCAGAGGAGCAGAATCTCTGTTGGCTACATTTTAATTACAGCTGGTACATGAACTGAATGTTGGCTGCCACTATTATTTGGGCTGGTACTCTCAGTATACTTGCCCTCTCCCACTAGACGTGGGTATTCTTTGCTGTTGTTAGCATCTCTGCATAAAAGAAATTGCTCATACCTTAATTAAGTCAAAAGCCATCTTGAGGGGGGTTGTTACATAACTATGGAAGTGCTTGTTAATCATGCTGTTCTCAAAGAAGGGCATACTCTGCTTATATGGACATAGTTTATACGCTGATAAAAACATTTTATATTTGTGCTGTCCAATGCTAATGTCTCAAATGAAAATTAGCTTTATTAGTAGAAAGTATTTTTATGTCAATATAAAATATCTCACTTCAGCATAGTGCAGCCACAAATGTGTCACAAAAACCTTCTGGCAGCTTTGTGAGCAGCAGAACTCAGACAAGTGTTTTTCCAGAGTTTGTGTGTTGTGTTCATATTATCCTGGATGAAGAGAGGTGTGAATACAACAAATACAATATTTTGGGAAATTTCAGACTGTCATATTTGGCTGAAACTGGCACATAAGCTCAAAAAGAGGATATAAATATACAAAAAATACACCCTGCATATTTTGGTTTTCCCTTGAAATAATATGCATGGGGCAGATAAACTCTCTGAGCAGATTGATTCCTTTGTGTAGAACTGTTTGCAGAATCTGGACTTCTGAGTATCACTGGTGGTTTGGGACATGAACAAATAGAAATACAGGTAGTGATGGCTTGATGCTATAGGCAGGAATAAGTAATAATCTGTGTTAGTGTCTGATGTCATCATCGTGTCTTGCAGGCACTGATTATCTTTCAGGATTTGTTTTAATTTGTGACATCTTTGCCTTTGTCTGTTTCCTGCTCTTGCTTTATGGAGGGAAAGCAGGGTGACAGGGCTGAAAGAGAGTCAATTATCTGAACATGCTGGGAAAGGATCACAGGCACTGTGTCCTGCTTGTTTTAATGTTTTCCATCTTCTCTCTGCAGGCACGTTTGCTATTCGGCCTGAAAAGAAAGCTGAACCAGTTACAAAGACAGTGAAATATGTGGGGATGATTGCAGGTGGGACTGGTACGTAAGATTCATCCATGGTTTCTGGCAGCTGGTAGATGTATTTGTACCTATTTTCTCTCACATGCTCACTTGCTCACTGTTTGCTCCTTTGCGCTTTCACATCATTGGCCTGCCTTGCTCTTTCAGGGATAACACCTATGCTGCAGATCATTCGAGCAATCATGAAAGACAAAGATGACCCTACCATTTGTCAGCTGCTGTTTGCTAACCAGGTAATTCTGTCCTTTGTTCTGCTTATAAAGTTTTAATTAACTAATGGAACTCCACCCAGCAAATGAAATTCTTGCTGAGAAAGCCTGGTGCAGGAATACAAACCCTGAGGGGAGAAGTGAACTGAAATGTCGGAAACTTCCCATATGAAAGGACTGTAATGAATTGTGGGTTTAGTGTTACTAAGAAATGTCACTTTCCTCCCAGCTAATGCTGGCTTTCCTGTCTCTCATTGTTTCTAATTCAGTTTATAAATGTTTCAAAACTCTGCATTCCTTGTGCAAGTTGTTAATATTTTGGGCAGGCTTTCAGGGCTGTCTTTGTGAGTGGAAACATGAAAGAGGTGGACATGTGTCTCCTTCAGCAATTGTAACTCCCCAGCTTTGCAGCAGGGTTGAAGTTAACAGTTGGCTCCCTCAGCTATGGGTGCTGTGATTCTGCACGGCTGTTGCCTTTAATTTCCATCACTTTTGTCAGTTCTTCATGTGTTTCTATTGTTCTTTGAGGTTTATCATACTGCTGTGCTTCAGTGACCAGGCAGCCCAAATGGTGGTGTGCTGCTGAACTACAACACCTCTTTCCCTGATATTTTTCTGCTGTTAATCCTTTGCTTTTAAATTTCTCCATAATAATGAATATTCGGTTTTGGAGTATGAGCCATTTTTTGTAGTGAACCTTACTGCCTGCCCTTAGTTTATTATCTTCTTTAGGTTCTCCTCTGTCATTCCTCATTTCCTTTGTACCACATCTGAACTATAAACCCACGATTTTTCTACCCAGAAGCTATGATGCAGGTGCAAACAGGTGCCCTGTTCTGATGTTTTACTGCAGTAAAGCAGCTCCCTAAGCGTTATGCCGGTGCCCTCTGGTGCTGGCTGGTGCTGCTGCAGCAGCTGGTCTGCTGAGCCGTAGGAGTTGGAATAAAGTGCAGTTAGTGTCAGGGCAAGAAGACCAGGATTTGCCATGAGTAATTCAGAATGACTAACACGGGGCTAGAGCTGCTTCAGTGACATAGAAAACCTGTTGCTTCTTGCAGGGAGGACTTGGGGAATAGTTGGCTGGGTATTAGCAACAGCTTGTGTAAACATCGGTCCTTGGCTTTAAAGAGTCCTTGTACCCAGTAACTACCCTAATATAAAGCAGCCTCATGACAAATGGTCAGTCAGGAAAGCCTACAGACTAGATGGTTTTAATATTTTAATAGTTTAAAATATGGCTGGTTTTGGGTTGGGTTTTTTTTAAGGTTGTCAAAACACAATTTATTTTGGCCCTCCTGAAAGAACTGTGTTGGATTACAGATGGCAGTGTACATGGGCTCATACAGTGCTTTTGACCAGCATGCTCTGAATTGGTCAGACCCTGTAGTAGCTTTTCTGGAACATGTGCAACTGCAGAACCAGAAATAAGCACCTTCTCAGCAATAGTGGCTGGCACATTCCTCCTTACTCCTACAGTTACAGACGTGGTGGTGTCCTCAGTGCCAAATTACTAAGGCTGCAGAGGATAGTGCCACTTTAGTCTCTACCCTTTTTCCTCCTTCACAAATGGCAGCTGCTGTTAAGGGAATAAGGGTTTCTTTTGTCCTTCAGTGATGTTGCATCATGGAGGAACAGAACTTGGTACCCTGGGTAGCCTTTATTGTTCCAGTCAGAGCTCAATACCCTTCTAGTCATTTGTTCCACGTCCTGTTTAAAAAAACAAGCAACCCACAAATGTCAGTGCTGATGAACCTTGAAGTGGCAGAGGTGAAGAACCTGGCAGTTTCCTGACTGGATGGCACGGTATGGAGGGCTAGGGAGATACTTGTGAACAGTCATGGTTAGTTTTGTGATTAAAGTTGCGTTTGTAATGGGAGTGCTAAAAGAGGGCTTTACTCTTCTTATGTTACCACTAATTCCCTGAACAAGACTCTGTGTTCTGTTTGAGGTTTTCCTTTGCTTTATTTTTTAGGGGAAATGCATTGCGTGATCAGGGTTTGGGAATGTTATAATCCTTTTTATTAGCTCTGCCACAGGATAGTCATGGAAATAACTTGTGTTTGCTCTCTTCAGCCTGTGAAACAGAGTTGAATAATGCGTTCCATCTTACAGGGCTGTAGAAAAGCTAATGCTCTGTGGTCATCTGAGGATTGCACTTAAATGCAGAGCATAATCATTGTTTTCCTTATCCTGCAGACTGAGAAGGATATCCTGTTACGTTCCGAGCTAGAGGAGATCCAGGTTCAGAATCCTGGTCGCTTTAAGTGTTGGTACACACTGGACAGAGCACCTGAAAGTAAGAGCTAATATGCTACTTCCACTGAAGCTTAACTTACGAGTTACTAAAGTATGTGTTTGCCAGGAGACATCCTATATTGTGTGCATATTTCTGAGCTCCTTTCTTGCTTAATGTGTCATGTCTGAATGCATCCAGTAGCATCATTCTTCACACAGTGATGCACAGAAACTCTCAGGTGTAATCAGGCAGCCTTTCCAAAGCTATAAGGCTCACCTCAGGTACTGGTAGTGCAGTGTTCCTCCCATGACTACACCTGAGTATTTACCATTATTTACTCTGGAAGGTGACCTTCCTTTGACCTTCCTTTCTCTTTTCCCACAGACATAAATACAACATGTTATCTTACTGTCTCATTCATGTTTAGAGCATGCATTAAGACAGCTGCAGTGGGAGTGTCAAACACACTGTGTCTCACAGAGATGTGGCCAAGTGCAGACTCCTACCTAGCTGTCATTGTGCGACAGGCAGTTCATTGTAGGTGATCTTCCTAGGCAACGGAATTGCCTTTGTATTAACAGTGCTTTTCACTGAAAATACTGTTCCAGCTTGGTTCAGTTCAGTTTCAGAGATAATGAGATACAGTTGGCTGGTCTAGGTAAGAGGATGAGTGTGCTTCCCTCAGCTGTGCAAGTTTGAGGAAGAAAAGGCTAAATACTTACTGCCATTGTGAAAAGGCCTAATAGTTTCCATGTAATTCCTTGTCATTTTCCTATCTTACTGCTTCTCATCATGCTCACCCACATCAGGATAGATTCACATTCCTATTCAGTGGTAGCTTGGGACAAACAAGCAGAAACCATATGCCTTCTCTTACGTTGTGACCAAGCATACGCCTACAGTGGGGTTGGGAGAAAGGTCTTGCCTTCCCTACAGTCTGTTGCTGTCATGTCATCTTCTGCAATTACTGGAGAATCCTGGAATTTCTAATTATCGTTCCTTTTCTTTGATAAGTGTGAACTGATCTTAGCAGTTGCAATAAAACTTTCTCCTTAGACCCCCCTGCCCCAACATTGTTGTGCAGACTTTCACTGCCATATGTGGAAATGGACCAAAGCTGGAAATCTTTTTATAACCTGTGGGAGAAAAATATGTCAGTCCTACTGTGTCCAAAGGTTTGGGTCGGCAGCTTTTTGTATCCAGAGCTGGGGGTACAAAGAGTAAGCTTGAATCCTAGTATTAACCGATGGCACTGTGAGTGTTCCAACTGGGAACAACTTCATCAGCTAGATTTTCCCTAGTGGACTAGTAAACAGTCGGGTGAAGAGGGTGGATGTTACTTCATAGTGCTGAAGCTAAAAAGATTCACATTCTGTTCAACAGCTCTGCTTGAGATTTCCCTGGGGCTTTTAGCAGGTTTTATTAGAAGCTAGCTCTTGTTTTCTCCATACATCAGTTTTGTGTCTTAAAAGTGGAGGTGGCAGATTTCCTATGTAGCATAACTTGAGGACACTTGTGCCAGTGGAGTGTATAAATGCTACAGTCCAGAATGTTACTAAAAAAAACCCCAAGCCCCCACATTTCATCCTAAAGTGACATATCTATAATTGCTTCCTTTTTCCCTCATTCCCCTTCCCCCTCTTTAATTTTCTTCACAGACTGGGAGTACAGCCAAGGATTTGTGAACCAAGACATGATCAGAGAACACCTGCCCCCACCTCAGAATGATGTTCTGATCCTCATGTGTGGACCTCCTCCAATGATCCAGTATGCTTGCATTCCCAACCTGGACAAACTGGGCTACACTAAGGACATGAGGTTCTCCTTCTAAAGAAGGCTGATAATTCACTGGTCTTGTGTAGACGGGAAGAAAAAACATTTAGTGGGGAACAGGGCAGAGTTACAGAGATTGCTGATGCACAGTGCTGGGAAGCTACATTTACATTAAAGATGCTTCATTTTTTCTGAATCTCTGGCAACTAAGACACTTAAGCTCAACTCTACCAAAACCTACTGGGTGCTGCACAGAAACAACTGTGTCGTGGAAAGGTAGTTGGTGCCCAGTGCTGGGTTTGCAGTGTGAACTCCATCTCAAGGGAGGACAGCATAGCTGCTTAGGGTAGTAAATACTCATTTACTCTTATTTCTTAAAAAATGGCAGTAATACCCTCCTTCCTAACACTGTGCACACCCAGTATTGTATTTGGGGTGGAGTATGAATATATATAGAATGTACTGGATTATTCATTCTCTTTGCTTAAGCCAAATTTTAATCCTTACAGAGATTTCACAGTATGAGGGCCAGGAGCGTTTGCCTTGATGCATAATCTTTGCAACATCAGGAGCCTAAGAATACTTGTTCTGTTGAAGGATTATTAACCATTTATTGCAGTTGCTCAAACTGCCTTGTTTAAAACAGAGAGGTAGGCAGCAATACAAAACTTGTTTCCTTCGTATTTTGGAATAACCTCTCGAATTGCAGACACTTTCCCAGCTGGTCACAGTTCTCATCCCTGGGCAATGAAAGAAACTAGAGAAAGCAGATGGCTTTCTGTAGTGTTCCACAAATAGCTGGAATCTTTTGGCTTATATGTGTGTGGAATACTGGAAAAAGGATACTAATGTTTGTGTTTACTTTTAAATAGCGGATGATGCCATAGGAGTACAAAGTAGTTCTGCGTGTCCTATGCAGTGAAAAAAAAGCTGGGTGAGAACTGGATTTATTTCTAGTTTCTTGTTTCCCAGAGGTGGATGTGGAAGGACGGGAGCTCAGGTTTCACTGCCAGGGTGGGTTTCAGCAAGTGGGGCAGCTTCAGATGACATATGTATATAGCTGGGGGACTCACCTGCGTGGTTTGCTCAGGCAGAGCTCCAAAGGGTTTTGCTTGGTAAGGATGCATGGGAACAGCCTTAAGTCACCAAACTGACAGCAAAGTCAAATGTCTCACTGAACCTAAACCTGTTTCTTACATGCTGTTTACTATAGCTCTGATTTTTTATTTTAATATACTTCTTTTACAGCAGCCTTTCCCCTAGTCTTTAGGAAACTTCAGGCATCTTGTGTGCGGAACCTTCCGCTTCTAAGTAATGGAGATGCTGCTGAGATTAGAGCTGTCCTGCAAGGAAGGAACCTATGAAACTAAAAACCGTATTCTTGTGATGAAATCAGAGTGATTGAAAGGATGTTTAGTCAGATATGAAGTCATGTGGGTGCTAGTTAGCTGCTAAGTGTTGGTGTGTAATACCATTTTGTTAAGGATTCCTGTAGGTATTTGAGGTTCTAGCTTGGAGGTTTTCTTTTGTGCCTGTATGACAGATGGGTACTGTGCAGTTATAAGGTTAATTTTAGGCATGAATTAAGAAGAGAAAAAGATACTACAGTTAATTTAAGGAACCTCAAATGGATAATACTGTTATTAGTTTTATTAATTAGACGCTTGCCTCTGAAGTCTTGAAGTTTTGATGTGTACTTCTGAAACTTGTTCTTTAATAAATAGTGTGTTCCAAAGTTCATACTCAAGTAAGTTTCAGTCCCTTCTTAGGAGGCAAAAAGCAGAAATACAAAAGAAATTATCTTGCTGCTGATTTACATCCTTGTGGGATACACACAGATTTTTCTCATCAGTGTATTCAATGCAGTTTTCTCATGAAAAAATAACGGTAACTGATCTCACACATCAACTATTTTGTATTACTTACTCTGCTTATTCAAATACTGCCTTTTCTTTCACATCTGTGTAAGAAGTAAAGTATCTTGCAGGTAGTCACCTGTGTGTTACTGAGCACATCGTCTTTAACCCTGTGAGAGAACAACTATAATTGTAAAACACTAGAAAGGGAAGGTTCAACAAAAGGAAACAGAAAGCCCATTTGATTTGTTTACTCAAGCGCTTCTCTCTCTGAGTGTGATGGAAGCAGCTGTATTTGGATGGCAAATCAAGGAGAGTAAGTTGTCTCTGTTTTCTTTGCTATCACTCCAATATCCTCTTTTGACCTTTGTTTTGTACGTCTTCCTTGTGAACATGAGGCTCTTTTAATAAATAAAAAGAGGGATTTTATATAATCTGCTGAAACAAAACTGTGTCACACCTTTTGCTTATGGTCCTGCACTAGAGCATCTAAACAAGTCAGTGGTAAAAATACTTAGTTACTTTCTTCGAGCCAGTTCATCTCTTACAGAAAAGACGAGTGTTCTTCCAGTTTTCTGACAGGACGTGCTGAGTATCACTAAAGTGCATGTTACAAAGCAGCTGGGGAAACACAAACCTTCCATGTGAGAGGCACTTTGTGGAAGGTTTCCTGAGAGAAACAGGATTAAAAGGGCTGCTGCTGCTTTGGCTTCACCAGAGGTGGGTCCCCTTCACTTAATGGCTTATGGAGCTTACTTCAGCTTTCTGAGCTAACCACAGAAACTAGAGTCCTTGCAGCAGCAGAAGGGAAGTATCTGGGCAGCAGGGAATGGAGGTTTTATCCTCCCAGGGTATGGGAGATGGAAGAGACAGCAGAAGTGCACTGGTGATGGATCATCCAAGGCAGAAGGCTGGGAGAAGGGTCTCTGTGTGGCTGAGGGCTAGGATGGCTATAGATGAAGGCCTCTGTCAGGCAGTGTTCACACAGCTTGGGGTACGCAGACCATGCTGCTTCTTTTGCCACAGGGGAAGGGAAGGGAGGTTTGTGCCAGCCACCGTCTGGAGTAATAGAACCCTGGCACCAGGGGCCCAGATCTTCTCTGCTTGAGTCGGAAACTCCTGGTGGACCCAGGTTGGGGTGGATATCTGCATCCTGTGATAAGCTAATCATGGTTCTTAAAGTTTCTTTAAGAAGGATGGGGTGAGGTGTTCTACTGTGTTTTTCTTATTATGAAGACCTACCTGGCTAAGCTCACCAGCCAACAGCAGCAGCGCTGCAAGTCTCTTCTTTTGGTAGCCTTTCTTCACTTCAGTTATGCTTCCATGAGCTCTTGAGCTCACCTACAGTCTAAACTATGTAAACTATACATTATACTAAACTATACATTAGCAAATGATGCCTAAAGGAAAAACAACAACATGACCCAACCCCTTCACTTTGGTTTTAGTAACCAACCTTATTATACAAATTATGATGGGATTAAACTGCCTGAGGTCAGCACCTTGCCTGGTAAATCAGTGTGTCTGGTTACAGAAGCACATGGTATGGCTGTGACTCACCTGAGCTGAGGCTCCAGCTTGGCTGAATAAATGAACATTCTCAAGTTTATGTCGTTAAATACTTGGTTGTGTATCATCTTCACCATTATCAGCCATGATACAGAGCCTGGGCTGGTTTCCATCACTGCTGAGGGCCTGGGCTCCTGAACCAAAACCCACAAGGTGAAGAGTGTAGTGCTGCCTGGGCAATGTACCCTGGCTCCCAGAAGAAACGCCAAGCCTGCATGACATGTCTGAGGTACCAGGGACACTTCGAAGGACATGAATCACATTGGCACCTGCCCCAGGGTGTAACTGCCATAGTTTGAACTCTACATAGTCCAGACACTTTGATTTTCTTCTTCCAACACCAAAAAACCATGCAAAACATCCAAAGGAAAATGCCCAACCAGTTTTCAGAGAAACATTCCTGAAGAACTGAATAGCTTAAGAGACATATCCTAGTTGCAAGTAAGATACCAATTTAATGCAAACTTAAAGCTCTTTTGCTGGTCCTTTATAAACCAAGCACTCCTGCTGCAGCAGTGGTTATTTAAATGGGCAAAAAAAAACCCAAATCCCAAACCAACACAACTCTCCTGATTAATGGCACATATTCCCACTATCTGTCATCTATATAAAACTATGCATGTTTTCTATGTAAAACACCAGAACTTTCCCCTTTGCCCCACCAAACCCCTGCTACAAACAAAGAAACCACAGTGATGGCAGCTCTTTAAAAACAAACTGTCTTGCAATGAACTGTTTTAAACCCAAAAGGCCTCCCTTCTCCATACCCAGCTACAAATTTCACAGTTCTACGTGTGCTTGTTTTATTTCAGTTCACCTCTCAGCCTCCACACCTATGCTATGGAAAACTGTCTAAGTAACAGCCTTTATTTCTCAGCTGCTGCAGTTTCCCCATCCTAGCCCTCAGCCACACAGAGACCCTTCTCCCAGCCTTCCTTCCGCCTTGGGTGATCAATCACCAATGCACCCCTGCTGTCTCTTCCACCTCCCACACCCTGGGAGGATAAAATGTGAATAAGCTTTTGAAATTACTTTTTTTTCCTATTAAATAAAAGGACTAAACTTACAAGAAAACTACAGGCAGAGGAGCTTTGCAGTGACCAAACTATTCAGACCACTACAAAGTTGAGTTTTCCAATTTGACAACTTAGCAGGTCTTCCTTCCCTTGCTAACAGTGGCTGAAAGAAAGTAATTACAATGGTGCAGTCCCAAAGTCTTACTCTATCCACTAAAAGCAGAGGGAAATGGAATAAATCAGTCGCTAAATGCAACCAGCCACTGAGCTACTCAAACCAAATTCAAAGTTTTGCCTCCTCCAGACTTCTGCTCTCTGCCACACGTGGTGAGCAGTTGCCACTGCTGCCATGAGAAGTGAAAACTCCCACCAGCATCCCCAGGGCCAGGTTTTGTCCATACTCACTGATTTTTAACCAAGTTTTCTGTAGCACCTGCCACTGCCTTCAGCCGCTCCTTGCCCTCACACAGTGCTTGGCAGGAACAGGCCTTGCAGCTGGGACCGACCCTGCCCCTGCCTTTCAGTCACAGTGCTGAAGCCCTCCAGAGCCTGGCACTGATCTACTATTAGGGGGCAGGTAATAGGTTTCTCATACAGTCCATTTCTAGCCATTTCTAAGAGGAAGGGTTTTTACCTCTTAGTTGGGAACCAGCTCACGCCTCCAAACCAGCATTTCTGAGCTCTGATACTGTCCTTCAACCTAGGTGCAAATCTTGACCATTCCATTTTATTACAGACTCAACACTTGCCACAGAGGCACTAAAGGCTGTGAGTCAGCTCTACCATGACTGCCCAAAGGCTTTTAGGGTGATAAAGCTTTCACTGGCTCCAGCCAACACTTGATGTCTGGTGAACAAAATGTCCTGGAAAAATGACGTGTCTTCTATAAACACATTTTTCTGGCAGGTGAGTCCTGTTGTTTCAAACCTGG